CCTTTTTTCCTTTTCAGTTTATCTTTCGCTTTCTCCCGAAGCTTTATTTTCAACGCATCTCTTTCTTTGTAACAGTGAAGTATCTGAGAAGAAGTCACAACTGTTTTCTGCATTGGGGTAAATTTTCGAGCTAGCTTGTCAGGCCTATATGCATTGTGTCTACGAAACCTAGTTCGTGTCTGATGATATACGACTTCTAAACGGCTACTTTCATATTTAGTTGCTAGTTGAAATAAGTCATTAAATATTTGGAGGCTCGAGAATTCTACAAAGTCCTGTACTATTGGTAATAACCGCGAGAATTCTGTTTCCAATATCTTATAGTCTTGTTCATTCCCATACAATAACTTACAAAGTTCTACTTTTCTTATTACAAACTCCGTTAATTCCTCGCCCTATATGGAAATAGACTGTACAACTCTAACTTCAACCTATTTTTCACTGGTGGGATTGCCTTCAACAGAGCTCGTTTGAAAGCTTCATACTAATAACTCGTTGTACCGACAGGACCTAACAATGCCTTTCCAGTAAATTTATACCAGTTCAAAGTTTGCCCTTTTAACATTGATGAAATTATTACTACCTTATGCGGCTCCGCATACGACTCAAAAATCTAAATCTGCGTCTAAATGCCTTCTAGAAGTTATAATACCGACCCTGTTTCATCGAATACAACGCTCGGCTTGACCGTCGCTCTGAAAGCGGCTCTATTAAGCGGCCAAATACTTGTAATGGATCACTTTCTTGCCTGCGTTCAAATCTCACAGGAGCCAACACACTTCTACCTAATATTTCACTTTCACCTGAATGGTGAAATATAACATCTGCTGTGGGTTCCAAATAACTTTGTTAATTACCATCAAAGTAAGGTGTTACGTTTGAGTTCGGCGGTGAATCATCCCCATAAGAATATCTAACCAGCAAGCAAACCGACATAGAGTTAAAACACTTCACGTTCATTCTACTTACAAACAAAACTTTATCAGCCCTCCTGGAGTTGGTTTAGAACTCAAAGCTTCGTTCCACAAAGGATATAAATTAAACAGATTAACTAGAGACTGTACGATTCCCCAGAGACCACAACAGAATTTCAAACACACGCTTACTTAAAAAAGGTCTAATATTGGTGTAAAATACTTCCAGCAAGATCAGCACTGGTGATGCCCAAAGTCTGCTTCTTTGAATCTGTAGGGCAGCGGAACGCAGGCCAGACTTTAGCATTCTATTCGTAAATCTCTAAAATGTATTGTAAATTGCTTATAATCTATTCAAATTCTTGAAAGAATGAACCTCATGGCGAAAAGAGGCAGAAAGGAAAGGATTAAATTAAAAAAATCGTTATTAAAATTCAAACATAAATGCAACAAAGAATTCTCAAGAAAATGGAAATGCAGCTTTAGAAAATTGCTCTGGTAATATTTTACTGCTTGGATATTGAACAGATATTATTATCATTCTCATATTACGTTATTGGTTTTTAAATCACTCTCCTATAAAATGTTGATTTTTTATTTTATACATTTTCCGACAACATAATACAATACACATACCAGCAAGACTAAGTGTTGGTAGTCTTAGTAATACAGTGAAACCTTGGTTCACGAACTTAATTCGTTTTTAAAGATAGTTTGTAATCCCAAATCTTCGTAAACCGAAGTAATTTTTCCCGTAGGAATTAATCTGAAATGAATTAATCCGTTCCTCTCTCTCAAATGAGTACTTTGTGGATAATTTCGTCCTGCAAAACCGACGGAATTCATTAAATCAAGGGAAATCATATTCCTTAAAAATATCAAGTAACTACTGTCTTTCTTGGATTTTTTTATTTCTGTTTTCTCTTAATTTCATTCATCTCTAATTAAGAATCGTTTAGCCTTTTCTCTTTTAAAATTTGTTCACTGTGATTGTTTCTGTATACGTTTTAAAATATTACCAAGACATGACATGACATCGTCATTGAAAATATTTATGCTATGGCTTATTACTGCTTCATCAGGGTTATAATGTTCTTGAACCCTTGCACTTTACCCCATTTTGTACAAATTTCGGATATCCAATAACTAAAAATATTCTCCCTTTCGTTATCTTTACCTGAAGATATAACCTCCACTGCATTTCGGAGTACAATTTATTATTGGTTTACTTGTTTGTATCTTGAAACATCGTTTATCATCCAAAATATTTTTATATAGAAATTTGTTCATGATACAACGGGATCATTAACCATGGTTTCGTTGTATAATACATCAATAGTGGGCCACATAGAGCATTTATAATTTGAATGCCTTAAAGCTAAATATAAAAAAAAATATATGTTTTGAAGCATGAAACAAACTAAGATATTATAAGTAGAATATAATATATATTTCAAATTGTTCCAGTAATGATACAGATGGCTAGAGCAGTTTGAGAAATAATGATCTAGAAATCATAGAAATTAATTCAATGTACATTTTATGACTTTTAAATATAATATACAAAATATTAAGTACATTTAAATATAAAGAAATTTTAGTGCAATATATTATGTACTTTGGGAGGAGAAAAAATACTGAATACATATTTTCGCCTTAAGGAAAATAGTAAGAATGACCAAATCGAAAGTCTTTATATAATCACTCCTGAAAAGTGCTTTCAGTTTATAAACTAGCTGGTTATTGAGATTGTGCTTTCACCAGGAATAAATATCTTACCACGTAATGAAAATTTAAGAACTTCCTCAAAATTTTCACGCATATAATGTTTTGTAAAATCTTTTTCCTGAAATATTTTAATTTGGATTTGGATTTTTATATTTAAAACGTTTTACTGACATTTCGAACTGTTATAACATGAATAACCTTGGAACTTCAGATAATAGGTCTAGTGCTCATAGAATGATACATTTAGGGAAACTGCATCCCAGAAGATAAAATACATCCGAAGTCTTCTTAAGGAGCATTAGGAACATTATGTGCTGCTGATAGAGATGCAGTTTGTCTATACTACATTTATAATGTTTATGCAGTGCAAATATTAAACACACATATTTTGTGCTGTCACTATTATTTTACAGATATTCAACTATAGTGTTTGAAATGGGATAGGGCAATACAAATAACGTGTTGAAATTTATGCCCAATATTGACAATGTTGAATATTCAAATCCGTGTTGTCATTGATAAATGTGTAGTAATAAATACATATATATTAAAAAGTTGAAATTAATAAATTATGTGGCGAAGCATGGCAATAGGCATGTAATCATAGTTCCAGGACTTAACAAGTGCTTCTAGAGGAAACAGAAGCATGCGTTAAATACTTCATAAATCATATCACAAACTTTCCTCTCTCCTTATACGATTCAATGTTACTGTAAAACCATTGTGTCAGTTAGTTTTATGCTGACGTTAAATAATGTCCTCTCTTCTGTTTAATTCCTGTCAAAAATATTTACTCAGACCAGAAGTTTATACAAATTTAAGAGCTTACGAAAGAGATTTTAAAAGCTAGGAAGTTAATTACAGCTCTTCCCTATCGGAGTAAATGTCGCATGCTGCGTGGAAGAAGCTTAATACCAGCTGTATTTATCGGAGACCATAAAGTATTTCCAATAGCTTTGCCAGTTGTTAGTGCTTAGCTGTATGGAAACACTAAGCTGCGGTGTTTGAGAAAAATTATGTACCTGTAATCCTCAAAAGCCAACTCTTGTGAACTTGTAATCCTTAAAAGGTAACTCTCTTCGAATCTTATTTATGATACTTTTTTATATTACTAAGAGTATCGACTATTTTGTGCTATAAAATGTTTAGCTTTAGTTATAAACCACCAGTAATCTATATATATAAAAAAGAAAGTTTGTTTGTCTTCTAATAAATAAGTCACTGCTCTAGCTATCGTCACCAAACTTTCTACGATTATTTTTTGGGTCCTGGAAAAGGTCGAGGTCCACCTTTTTCCAAAAAAGAAGCCAAATTAAGAGCTATTAATTAAAAACTCAGAAAAACGATAATTTTCGCCCTCATTTTTCCAAGTGGCAACAGTCTTGCAAGCTGGAGATGAAAATCTGCTTTATTTCGGAAGTTGTTGCCACTGCTCGCTTTTAAATCCTAGAGTTTGTCACTGAAAACCATTCTAAGTTTTACGATGAAATAAAGATAGCATTGCCAAACATCAAATATTAAATTTTGGAATTGGGAATATAAATTATTCCCAATTCCAAAAATTCCTGGGAAGCCATTTCGACTATTTCCATCTTTGTACGACTTTAATCAACCGAAATACTAATTAAAAACTCTGAAAGCGCTAAATTTCACACTCATTTTTCCAAGTGGCAACAGTCTCGGGCGTTGGAGATAAAAATGCTTTATTTCGAAAAGTGTTGCTACTGCTCGCTTTCAAATCGTAGAGTTTGTTAATAAAAATTTATGAGTTTTACAAAATCAATACATATAAAGAAGAATGTCTGTTTGTGTGTTTGTTGCTTGTTTGCGTTATTGATTTGTGATAAATTATGATTAAAATGATTATTATGATTAAAATGATAATATGGTGAGCTTTGTTTTCAAGTGCACATGGCTGGAAGGCAAACATGTAGGTTTCGAATTCGAACATTAAAAAATCAAATTGCAATTCAGTTAAAATGCGTTGACAGCCAAATGACTCAATTAAAGCAAAATAAATAAATTCTCAGATTCTATTCCAAAATAGAATTAGTAGAAAAAGAACTAAAAAAATTAAGTAAACGTAAACTTTTAATGATGATTTTATTCCTTACTTTCTTCTTTGAACCATTTCGTGTCATTAAATAGCTTTTGCAAAACTACCTTTATGTAATATATTACTTTGGAGCATATATATTACTTATACCTTTCCTTGTGCTCTGGTTAACTTTGCTAATTAAACGGCGGTGAAATGACAGCGAAAATAAAACACCTTTGGCGATCGCCAAGTTCATCGTCCATCGCCAGGGATGCGCTCTCTCTTTTTCTCCGATCTCCCGGAGTTAGGTAGATAGATATTCCGCTCCATGTGCGTTGGGAACTCCAGGAGTCGAATCGCGAATTCCGGATTTGACAGTTATGGAGCATTCGCTTGTCAGCATTCTTTTCCTTGCTTTGCTTGATTAGTCCTCAAAAGATAATTTTTCGGAAATGGAGTTTGCACTGTTCAATAAATTTTGCAGTTTTACTTAATTCCGAATAAATTGCATTTTTCGTCAGAAGCCATGAGCGAAAATGTTTTGAAGCATCTGTTGCTATTCTACTTGTGAATTTTAAACAGGTTAATGGTGTTTCAGCGAAGGTTAAATGTGTGTTACAGTGTAGGGTTTTAATTATTTGTCTAAGTTATGCTGCTATGATAAAAGAAGACGCATATTTTGAAATGACACTTTTTAGCCACATTGTTGCCAGAGTTGAGTAACTTTTGCTTTAAAATGCTTTTATTATGCAAACTTTGAACTCTTATTAAGACTGGTGTATTTTCCTTCAGTTATCTTCAAAATAATTTCTGACTGAAAGAGTGGATCATTGAACTCAAAGATGCCAAAAAGAAGAATTCTTCGAAGCATTTGGCAGAAAATTTAAACCTAAAAAATTCTCAATTTAATCGCACATATCAAGAGTTTTACTATCTTGCTGCAAAAAGTATCAACACATTTTTTAGACTTTTTTTAATCAAATATAACATCAGATACTATAAAAGGTAACTTAGTAAAAAATAATGCAAATAATCTTTTACGCATGTTTTCTACTAAAATAGAATACTGCAAATGTTTTTAATATCATCTGTAAATTTACTTAAACAGGAAAGAAAGGCGGTGTGATATAATTAGGTTTAAAACAGTTATTAACGGAAGAAAAAACGGTTAAAAATTTAAAACTAAGGAAAGAAATACAATTAAATAACCATAACGAATTATGTCAATGAAAATGTAAAGCTAATACTATCTAGAAAGGTCAGTGGATTCATCGGTATTATTTCATAAATTGTAAAATACTTCTTGTCACAAAAATATATTTCTTAAAAGATTTATAAATTTCTTTGAAATAAGGACATATCATGTGTTGCAACATTCCTAGTACAACAAGTTCTTTCCAATGGTTTCTTTTTAACGTTATAATTCTTTCATCCTATGGCTTAAATAATGCTAAAGTATGTTAAACTTCTCAAAATATTAATTTTAAATACTGAACATTTTCTACTATTTACAATAACGTTATAAGATACTAAATAGACAGTTAAAATAAACAAGCACACTTCTGCAGTTACCCAAGATGTTTGGAAATATCTTTGAATAACGAAGCAAGATGTTTTGGAAACAGTTTCCCTGGTTTTTGACGGCCTTATGCCTTGCTGTTTCGGAACCAGATTCTAATGCACTGCAGCCAATTCGACTGGCTGTCCTTGCACCAGATGATGATTCCTTGCCGTTCTCTTTACACAAGATCCTTCCCGCCATATTATATGCTGTAAGAACACTTCTGCGACAAGGCGAAAGACCAATGGAAGTTTTATACCGTGACACTCAATGCTCCTCCACTTACGGTCCTCTAGCTGCGTTTTCACTGTATAATTCTGGTCTAGCAGATATTCTGCTGGGACCACTGTGCCCATATGTTTTGGCACCCGTAGCTCGATATTCTTCTGTTTGGGGTTTACCAATACTTACCGCAGGAGGCCAGAATGACAATTTTGACCACAAAGAGCCTCATTATAAAATCTTGACGAGAATGAATGGGTCTTATTCTCAAATCGGAACTATAGTTCTGCAAGTGCTTCAGAAGTTTAATTGGAAAGTGGTAGCACTTCTGTTCCATAACTACGAAGATCGAACCAGAGGAAACTCTAACTGTTATTTCACCTTAGGAGCTGTCTTTACAGCTCTAGGAAAGAAATCTTTTCATAGAGGTTTTGATGAGTCCAGTCCAGCTACCGATTACATAAAGTTACTGAAGGAGGTTTCTCTACATTCAAGAAGTAAGTGAGATTTCTGGTTAATATTCTACTAGCTTAATGGTATAAAGAATATGTAAATTATTTCGTTTTTAAAATTAAAATTTGTCTCATTTGGAGGGATACAATGATTATTAAATGAACCATAATCGAATTGAGAGACCCATAATTTCTTTGAATTGTAATATCGTTTTAACGACGTGAATCAGTATATTGTAATATTACAATGGTTTAACATTACAATTTGTATATTGTAATATTCCACCACTGCAGAATCCAGAATTATGGTTATACAAATGAAACGTGTTTGGTTATAGGAAAAACCTGCCTATGAATTATGAAAATTGAATTATTTGCTCTCAGTAATGCAATATATTTATTTTCATTTAGGACTGCATGTTTTTCATTTTGGCACCAAATACGTTATTAATTCGATAAACATTTGCAATTTTTAAGGAAAACTATTCGTAAATTTGATCAGCTTGAATTATTTGCAATTATTGTAATTAATCCTCAAAATTTGAAATATGCTTATTTGTGAATTTCTTGACGTATTACTGCATTTCCATTACATTATCTTCTATAAATGGTTGACGTTTTATTTTACAATATTTTTGAGTAATATATAACCAAAATTTGAAATAGGAGTGGTCGGCTTGGAATTTCAGTCAGAAAGTTTTTAAAATTTGTTGACCTTATAATATTTTAGAAAGTAGCTAATGAAAAAGCTTTTCTCCAAACTAAGGTAGAAATATTAATTTAGCGTGTAAACTAAAGTGATCACAATATTTCAATGAAAATAAAATATAGCAGCGTATAAAAATAATGAGCTATAATCGTATTGTTTTACTATCATAAAAATGTCATAATTATTGATTAAGTGCATAAATTCAGTAATGTATCGAGGAAAATTTCAGCAAGTATGTTTACATATAAATTTTGATTTTTTGATTCTAGATTGTCTTTAGGGCATGTAATAGTCATTGTTTGAATATACTTCTCACATGTGAGATAATTGAGTAAAGCAATTTTATATTAATTTTATACAATTTTTATCGAATTATTAATATTTTAGCGCAATTAATTTTTATTCAGGACTTGAAACATAACAAACAATTATTATATTTGGATAACTTGCATCACCGACAATTACAGAAACTCAATTTTATTGTGAAACTAAAGTAATAAGTGATAAATGCTTTATTATAGTTACTCCAATATAAGATAGTATGGTTGTAAAGTAATTTCTTTAATCATATCTTATATTAATTACACTTATTTAGTTTTTTTGCTTTCATAGTGGTTAATATTTTATGGTTATTATTTTATATAAAATATTATAAATATTGCAGTTAAGCTTCATTAATAAGAAATCTACCTTCATAATATTAATAAAAGAAAGTTTGTCAGTATAATTGTTACTCAGTCACGCAAATCAATTTCAATCTTGTTACCGAACTGTGTTTGTAAAACAGCATAATTAGTGTATTATAAATGTTCATGAATTTTTAATAATGACTACAAATGACGCACATTAGAAGTTTAAATAGTAATATCAGATAGGCAACAAAATATAAAACACACATTTTCATTATTCTATGATTTAGTTGTTAAAAGAATGTAAAGGAATCTGACAAGAACTAGAAGCCAGAAAGAATGCTTAAAAGGTTTTCAAATTTCAGTATTAAATGAGTGAGAAAGAACTTGAAACATATTTTTACTTTCTTTTTGCAGCTTTGCCATCATTTACTGCCCCTCATCTTCCTATATCTCTCTGCATAAAACAAGGTAACAAATCTAGCATTTTATAAAATGCAATTAATCTGGAAACATGAAATCGCATGTTATGATAAATAGTTACATCGCTGAAATTTTTGCTCTAACATCCCCGCTCTCGGCGGGAACAGAGCGGGGGTGATCATTCAGCCCCGCTCTGTTCGATATGGTGGTTAACAAAGCCAGCAGCCAGCTCATTGGGCCGTAGCCAGAGAAAGTTTGTGAATGTTATGTTTGGGAATGGATCTTTGGTCCCCTTATGTTTGGGAATGGTAAAAGATCTTTTCGGCAAGAGATTGTTTGTGAATATTTTTGAGGCATGGAGGCATTTAAAAATCCATCAAGAAGAAAGTGCCCTTAAGCGTTGATGATAGATGAAGAATGCTTGCTACGAGACCATCCGATTCGGTCGCCCAGTTTTTCTTAAGCAAAACTGAAAAGGAGCTGGACAGAGTCGTGCTGTCATGAATTAGACGTCTGAGACCTTGGCAAATGACATGCGTTTTTCCACTTAATGTATGAATATGTCAGAGAGGTGTTTAGAAGTCTCTGCGCCCTGGCTATGGGTATAAGCAAAAAACAACATCACGTAACAATTTCAAAGCTGCTGAAAACTTTGTAAGGTATATTTTAATTTGATAACAGTTATTTTAAGCTTATCACTTTTTCCTATCTCTTCTAGCTTCAGCTTACAATTCCTTATCAGAATGAGTTTTAAGAATAGCGTTAAATATAAATGAGAAGTAGATAGTATTTAAGTTCCACTGACTTCGAGAGAGAGAGTTAGGATTCCTGAATAGCCCACGTTTGCCTTTTGGCTACGTCTCTCTAAACTGTTATTACGCTGGGTCGTATGCCATGCCTTTTTATAGCTTCACCTGCTAAGTTAATATTACTGGCCAACTAGTTTAGAATTGTGTTATCTTCGGCTAAATCTCTTTGGTTAATCATCAGTTAATTCTTACTTCTTACATTTTACATTTAAGTCCAAGTAGAGGCTTTGCTGTACGCCCTGAGAAAGGGGCCAACTGTTAAATCTTTATTTTGAGCAAATAAAGGGTAATTAACCCTTCTTGAGTTTACGTTTCTGTTCTTGGCGATTATTCGCTTAGTAGCTCACTAGGTTCCTCGTCTTTACATTTACACATATATAAACATAAAAGGAGACTTATGCTTTAATAAGTGCAGACAGCTCCAAACTATGTAAGGGCTAATAAGAACAGACAATCAAAAACAGCACTTAACAAAATTACATAGGCAATTCTGGGACTTAAACGTTAATACATTGCAAATATACTGCCTGACAAAGGAAATGCTTATCGATGAAAAAAAAATTGGAAATAAGATCAAAATCTGTAGCTAGACAGAAAACTAAGCACTTACAAATGGTTTGATTTTCAAATATGTGCAACGACAATAACATTATATAGGGCATCTATAAGATTCTTCGATCTCATTTTGAGCAGTAAAGTCTTGAACAAGCTGTTGCATCAAATTGCCAGAATTTTGTTATCGTGCACACTGAATTGTAGATATGACCCCATAGTTCAACTTCGTTTCGCGGAGGAGGAAAGTTATTTAATTGACACTCAATCATATCCCACAAACGTTTGATTGGCGAAAGATCGGGTGATCGAATTAGCTAAGGGAGCAATTGCAGACCTAGCAGTATTTCAGAGTGAGCCAAGCAGTATGTGCCTAGGCGTTATGTTGTCGAAGTAATGGCATTTCGGATATCCTAATGATGCTGAAGAAAATGTAGCTGCAGCACGACATCAGTATAGCAGTGACCCATTAATGTGCCTGTTATAAGTACTAATGAGAGACAACTGTTAACATTAATGGCAACCCCAAGTATTATTCTACACAGAAGAGTAGATGCGTTGCTGGAAAATGATAGCGGTTGCCATGTCGCCTCCACAGTCTCAAACACCGATCGTCATTCGGGAAACAACAGCGGAGAGTAGCTTTTGAAGGTGCCAGTCACTCCATTCTCCACTCCACGCAACTCTGCTGCGACACCTTCACTATGTTCATTATCTGTGAACGGAAACATTCTTAAAGCATGGCTCGACATCAAATCTACCTGAAGAAACTGTCCATGTCGATATTGGAGCAATAAAACATCCTGTATGCTTCGCAAAATGTTTCCATTTGTGGGCTGTGGATGAGAATATGGTATAATATCATGTGCGAAGATTAATGGGCTATGATGTCCGTGGTATTGGCAAGGAAACCGACGATGCTGCGCATTTCTTTCTTGGGTCCAAATCCGATCAACATGGCATCAAACGTGCCACTGCCGAAGTTGATAGATTTGCGCGTTATTTGGAGTCTTGTATCCTGCGCGCTGATCATTAGACTGGCTTGCAAATGTAGTCATTTGTATGATTTGCACGAGCACAGACATTTACGTACATTGTGTTTGCTTCTTCAAGGGACGCAGTTTTTTTTGTAAAGTAGTGTATTATCAAACCTTTCGAAGGAAATTTCTTCGATGGGTTTATTACTTCAGTTTTCGGATTCCGTAGCATGGCAAAATAGAAAGTGTTGCTTGCCTCTTGAGAAAAATTTTTTGTTGCAAGCCTCATACGTAAGCGAGTTAATGAAATAAGTGTAGATATGACCATTATACTCGTATTTCGAACAATTGTGTCTGTTCTTTATTAAATGAATGTATATGTCTCCTCATGGGATTAATTTACTGCGAAATAATATGAGAGCAAACTCTTTCTGCACCTGGCTTTCCCAGTTTGAACAGCTAACGTTTAATGCAAAATTTTAAATTTTAATCCTTAATTTTTACAGAATAAATTGATAACTAGTAGGCGAAACATAACCAGCATTTAAACTATTTCAGATATTAAACTAAACCTGGCATACAATCAGCTTGAATCTCTAAAATTAAAGCCGCAAAATTAAAAGAGAAATGATCAGCTCACCTTTCTTTTTTAATCTTGTGACTATCATATTTTTAAATTCCTTTTATCTTTTGGAACTCTGAAGCTAAACCTTTCGACACGTTGGATTGCAATCTGAAGTTTTCACAATCAGAAGCCATTTTAATTTATTTTATAAATATTCTGAAATTTCTCCCCATTTTTCTATCTAAGAAAATTATAAATTCAGTTTCATAAGGTTTTAAGTAAACAGCGAGCTTGGAATATTAATTCTTCTTAAGACATTTAATGCTTAAGTGGCTTTTAGATGCTTAAATATGCATATCATGTTTTCGTAATAGTGTTCATGTTAAGCG